AGCATTAAGTTTGACTCACCTGTTAGATCTTGCACAAGCAATTTCAACTTGTACCTGAAAACAATAATCACTAACATTGGTTTAGCATTACACAATATAAAATAAGTAATAAATAAGTATATAGTACGATCAGATTTTGGAATAACCTAATTACCTTGGTGTAACTTTGGTAACAATACAACTGCAACCCTCACCCTGAAAACAATAATCACTAACATTGTTTTAGCATCCAGACTTCCAGACAAAACAGATTGAAAGTCGGACAAATCCAGGTACAAATCTTCATTAACTCTATTAGATCGCGTAACGGCCGTGTTCTGATTGAAAACCATCTTCCATGAATGATTTGTGGTTCGATAAGCTCCACCAGCAGGAGTAATCTGGAAATTCCGGAGGTAGCGCCATGCTCCAACTGTAAGAAGCCTTGTCTTACTTTCAATGTAAGTCATTTTACATGTTGCATGGATTTTTTGCCCCTTAAACATGTAAAACAAAAATATAGAAACATCAAATAACACTCGAAACAATGATAAAGAACAGAATGATAAATACAGAAAAAATAACTTACAGTCTCATCAGCGAAAACGAACTCCATGGTCTCCACGGTTTGAATGTTTTGTTTCCAAGCGTGTAAAACCTTTACATGAACCAACCATGTGTTTTTCCATGGTTTCAAGTCGTGTAAAAGGACCACTTTATCATTAGAACCTCTTGATGCTTGGATTTGCATTTTAGTAGCCATTGTTTTGTTTACTGTTTTGTTTGAAGGTGTGTAGAGATAATCGGAATAGAGTGCTGTCTATTTATAATAGAAGGGACGTGCTTAGGTTTTAAGAGCAAACTTGGGGAGAAAGTTGGGGGATATTCTCTATAGTAATGAATATTGATTAGGATTAGTATTTGGGAAATCCATAAATATAGGTGAACAGAATATATTATCTGCTTAAATCGCCCATTTAATATTGAATATTGATTAGGATTAGTATTTGGAAAATCCATAGATATTTTCTTTAGTCAATAAATTTTGAATCTTACCCGAATATATATGAGTATCCCAATATTATTGTTATTCATAATCTTACTGGAAATTATCAGTTGTTTAACATAGGTTTCAGTTCTCGGAATTTTCATTATCGTGTGAATTTGCATAACATATAGGATTTATTTAAGAACTAAGATTGTATACATTAGTATTGGATTAATTTGAATAGAGTTAGTATTTATAAATCACATTTCAGTTACTGTACATAAAATAAGGTTAGGGAACTGGATTGTAGATATGGTTTGCATAGGATTTGAATAGAGTTTGGGGTATAGGATTATCTGAATAGAGTTTAGGGTATAGGATTATAACATTTGAAGATGTTATAGCCCATTTGCAGATCTGAAATATTGAAGCCTATTTCGTGAAGCTCATTTAACATTTCGTGAAACCCATTTAATAAAAAGAAAAAGTCCAGTTTTGCAATATTTTGAAAAAAGAAAGAGGCAAATCTTGTAATTTCCTAGAAAGTTCAGGGGCAGAAACCAAAACAGTCATATGCTTTAATAGTATAGACTAGGATAAGACCTGCGCCTTGCGCAGGGTGAATATATGTAATTAAAATATAAAATTTTAGTATTGACAAATTAAATTTTATATATGATTGTTTTTATATGTATTTGAAATTTTAGAATTTTGGAATTTTTATATAATTATTTATACGTAGGATCAGAAACAATTGTAATTAGAACTGTAGATCAAATCTTAGAATTTAGTGGACTTGATTTCATATATCTTTTCACTTTTCAGTGTTCAAGTGACGGAAAATAAACGGAGTGTCATTGGACTTGATTGGTAGGGTATTAGCAAGTATCCTAATGTTTTTGTAAGAAGCAGTT